GCCCGGCCTCCTCCGTCCCCTCCCTGCCTCGGTGTCGCGGGTGATGGCTGTGGCGCTCTCGCCTTGTCAGGGCGCATTAAACCCACTCCTCGCTCGCCACAGTAGCCTCCATTGTCCCGCCTTCTGCTCCGTCACATCGAGGCCGTGCGGCATACACGAGGTCATCACAAGGACGGGTGGAGTGGGGGGGGGGGAAACTTTCAGGTGTCCGCGACAGTCCGAGCTGACCAGGTCACCACAGCGCGGACAATGGCTCAGTAAAGTGGGAATGGTGTCGCGGACAAGCGGTGATGGAGGGAGGCGGTTGGTGGCCTCACAATTGGTCGGCTGTAGGGACCATTAAACTTTAGGAGAGGTAAAGTTTAAGGCTATTGTTACTAATGAGAGCAGTTTGGGTGTCACTTCGGAGCTAATGGGGCAAAGTGTGGTGAGCGAGTGACCGCATTAAGCAGGACAAACTTGAGGCGAGGGATCTTTTCACCGGCTCAAATGAATGGATTTGTTTGTTATGGAACTTTAACTGATTGGTGTCAAAGCGAGTTTGTCCGACGTCTCTGAACCGTGGACCGTAAGGGACTAGAGAAGATGATGTGAAGCTTCATATGTCATTATTCATTCACTCCATACACAGTGGTGATGAACTGCTATTGTAGCCACAACTGCCCTGAGGCACACTGACAGATCCGACCGCCACAACACACACTCATTCTAGGCAAATATCATACATTTTACTGCAAAAAGTGATGAAAAATAAGTAAAAAATTTGTTAAATGTATCTTACGAAATTAATGAGAAACTGCATATTGTGTTATCTAAAATGTTAAAACATAATTTTGATTTGTCGAAGTTTAAGTTTTGTGCTACAGGTTACTATTGTTGGTATATGAGAAACTGTATTATTTATCATCTTTGGACGTATTGTCACATTGTAATAGGGGTCAGGCAGTATAAGTTTCGCACTGAGGTTTTTCGGCACGGTGGCTGAGTGGATAGCACTCTCGCCTCTCAGCAAGAAGGTCCTGGTTTGAATCCCGGTTGGAACGGGGTCTTTCTGAAGGAAGTTTGCATGTTCTCCCCGGGCTTGCGTAGGTTTCCTCCGGGTATTCCGCTTTCCCCTACCACTAAAAACATGTTCACTAGGGTAAATCCTCCAGCTCCAGTAGTCAGGATGGGTCAAATGCAGAGGGTTGAATTGCCCTATGGGGATCCATAAAGTGCACCTTTACCTTTACCTAATGGACACATTTTGGTTCTTTTTTTTTTTCTTGTTGTAAAATGTAAATACGATCTCTGAAAACTTGTGACCTGAGATCATATGTACATATTGGCCGAAGAAAATAAACTACTATTTGAGCACATTTTGACTGCCTTAAAACAAGACTTGCCAATGTTTTAAAGAGATGTCTTTGTAATGAGAAAATATAGCAACAGTTCTTGAAATAAGACAAAATGGCAGTCAAAATGTACGTAAATGAATATAAAAACTCGATTCAAGCAATTATCACCTCATATTGTATAATTCTTTGCCATGTACATTGCGTTTTTACATCAAAACTTGACAAAATCCTCATACAAACGTGTGAAGCCCTGCTGTTTAATATGCTAATTCAAATCCAGAGGCATGGAACAAGATATATTCCAGTACACAAAAATGTCTGTATTCACGATAATTTAACTGTTTTGAAGACAAGCGACTTCTTCATGAACAGATTAAATATCTCCAGCGTATGCCCTCTACCGCAATGATCAGGTTAGGACAATTGCATGTAGACGTTTTTCATTTGAAATTTCCAAATCAGCAGGGACTTTAGCCTGGTTTAATCACATTTCTCTTCATCAGTATGCACGCCTAATGCATCTGCTGCCGGAGAACGCTTCAAAACAATAATATTAATCCTGGATCTAACTGGAAGTCAGTTATTCAGCACTTTGGAGCGAGGCTTATAGCCACCGTTCTGGAGCTAAGTAGTACTCGAGTAAGTACAGTAAGTATGTGAAAGGCAGGGTTTGTACAACAGTTATGGGGAAATAGTCTTTGCTGAGGAATAATATTGTAGTTATAAAAAGAGTATCAGTTAAAACACACTAAAAATAGTCACTAATAATAATTTACGGAAGATTAAAGCAAGATAAATATGGTTAAAAAGAGTACATTTCATACTAAATAATCTTTATGAACATGATTTATAGTTTGTAATTGAGTATTCACTAGCAAGCCTGAATGAACATGGATTGACGATTGGTTTTGCCTGCACCGGCCGATAGAGAATCTTCAATAGTTGGTGGTTGGAGAGGCTGATGGCACATAACTTGCTTCTGTTAGTGTGCCCCAGGGCAGGTGTGGCTACAGTAGTAGTTTTTTACCAGCGTGTATGGAGTGAAAGAATGATTGATGCTTTATTATTATATGATAAATCGAAACCTTACTCCCGCTGATGACTGCTGTCGTTGTGTCCTTAACCCCACTTAGCCCGAAGCCCCTGGTGAAAGACCAAGGTTCCTGTGGACTCACCACCTGCAGGAGGATCAGTGAGGGGCTGATGCTGTGTGAACTTGGTGGCATCTCTGGCCACCCCCCGACCCAGAAATGGACAAAGGGGTAGAAAATGAATGAATGAATGAAATCAAAACCCAGAACTTCTTTCTGAGTGGAGTTTGCATGTTCTCAGCATTTGTGTAGGTTTCCTCTGGGTGCTCATTTTCCCCCTACCACTAAAACATGTACAATAGGCCTGGCATGTCCCTCCTGTACTGGCAACCCCGCTGCCATCTTTGTGTGGAGTGAGAGACAAATGCCCACAACAGTTGTAAAGTCTTTTGTGAATAAAAAGTACCAACATTGAGCTGCAAATTTCGACAAGGGTCAATAACCTCCTTCTGTACTTTTCTTTTATCGCCTTCTATTGCCTCGTATTATGTGACGAACCTTCATTTACACTTGAACTTTGGCGTTTGTCAAAGTCCAGCTCTACTCTGACATTGTTTCCATGCCGACCAACAAGCGCATTCCGGTGTACACTCGTTATGAAGCCATCGCCGCCGTGTTTTGACATGAGCCGCTCTCTTCCTGTCTGAAATGGTGGGAACGTGGAGATTCTGACCACTCAGCACTTCTGTCACTGGAAAAGAAATAGATGAGGCCATTGTTATGTCACGCGGCTGGAAAGTGGGAGACTATATTTAAAGAGGATATATAGTATTTTTATTGCATATGTCAAAGCCTGATTCTTTTCTCTATAACATGATAATCTATGACCCATGTGGCTTAATTAAACATATGGTTGATGTGAAATGTTCCGATTTATTTAAAAGGAGTACAGGATCTACATTGTTTGAGTGGCACGAGGCAGTTCTTTTCCACTACTTGTTTTGGTTATCTGAAAGCCAAGCTCCAGGCACGCTGGCGAATGCTGATTGGACAGGGGGCCATGTCCTCCATGCTGGTATCAATAGATCAGTGGCATTCTGTAACATAGTTGTACCCATGTCCGCCCTGGCTGAAGTAAAGAACACGTTCCCAGATGATGGTCCCATTTCTCGCAGCGTCCGGTAGTTATGTTCCGACTATGTATGTCCATGCTGGCGTTCAGTAGTGGTGATTCGTTGATCTGTGGTTAGAGTATCGACAACGTGGGAAAGTGGATCACACAAGGCGTATAACGTGTCGACTAGAGTCAAAGATAGAAGAAAATCGAGTCGAGAAGCTCCACCGCAAGTCCTCTTTCTGTCCCACATAGTCCCGTTGTCAGAGGCGGAGCAGCGGCAACACCTGTTTAACTGAATGGCGCGGCTGCTCCCACGACAAACGACATGTTGGCTAGGGATTTTGTATTGACAAACAAAATGTTGACCGTTGATACCCTGTTGGTATGCTTTGAGCGTGAGGAAAGGGGTAGGCCGAGACAACACTGCGGATGTGTATTGCAAGGTGCATGTTTGTGGTGAGGGGGGGAATAGCGAGTGAGATAGCGACCCCGATTGCGTACCACTACTGTAAGCTTTTGTGTGCGGTTCTACGCAAGTCGTCCAAGTTTCCAACACTGTTGGCGATCTGGCGCCTCGTCTTCAGCGCTGCCGCGGGGGTCCTAGAGTCGTCCCCTGTGCAGCAGGCCGCTCTCTGCCCCTGGTGCAGACGGCGCTCTACAACAGTTTCCGTTGGGGGTTCCGTTACCCATGCGTTCGATTTTGGCCTGTACGGCGTTGTTCTTACTCATGAGATAGTTGACTGAGCAGTCCGGGGCTCATACGGGTCGGGAGCACTCGTGGCGAGTCCAGCACCGAGAAAAATGCTGGCGACAGAGGTCAGGGTCCGTAACCCAGCGGATCCGGTGGAAAAATGCCACGGAGGATGCTACCATGTCCGGAAAACTGCGCAGGACAGCGTTGAGCATTTTACTTGGGACTAGAGCAGAAAAAAAAAATGGTCCGAACCTAGCGGCTACTCCACCTTGTGACCGGTCCCTGCTCCAACCTCGCGGCTACCCCCACCTCTGCCTGGGCTCCCCTCTGACCTACGTGCGGTTTGCTGCTTCTGTACTATTGGTAGCTTTTTAGGAATGATCAAGTTGTATTATCATGGTGGTGCTTCTTCGGGATCCACGATGTTGCTCCTATACGGAATCAATAGGATTCTAGCTAGCCTAAGTTGGGCGACGTCTTCAGACTGGTTGCCAGCGGCACCCTATTCCAGGGAGACAATTTGTACCTAATTGATGTTTGTGGTGTGGTGTGGTTGGGGTGGATCGACATGTAGGGATTCCGCTTATACCAAATCTGTTAACCGTGGTGGGTTGGTGCTCTGCATGAAATAGCCCTTTACAAAAAACACAAGGTGATTTGCTTGCAACATACAGCCAGAGCAACTGTAAAGGCCACCCAAACACATGACAAAACCTTTATAATGTGCTACTGTACAGCCTTGGCCTGCAGACTCGTGTGAAAATCGCGTCGGCGATTGCCCCCACTATTCTCTAGTACCTCGGAGGCGCGACTCTGCGCAGATGCCAGGCCCTAGTAACCACCTGAACAAGCACGTCTGTGCGAGCGCATACACCCACCACCGTCACATGCAGCTCTGGATGGGGTGGGATGGAAAGAATCAACGGCTCGCGCCTGGTGGGCGAAATACGTTCGCTGATCCCACACACGGCGAGCACTTCTCGATTTGGGTGTGGACAGGTTAACTTACACACCGGCGTTCCAACGCTTTATGGCTCCATTTCTCGCTGTGGTTATCTCAGGGTATGATGGCGGCGCGCGGCGGGCAAATTCCCGCGTGCCAGGGAGTCACCGCCCGGACAGCACAGATGGCGCCCCGCGGGAGGAGGTCGCGGCCGAAGACGCTGCAGGGATTTGTGCTAACACGAATAATGAAGTGGCCGAGGTGAGAGCGGGCGGGCCCGTGTGCGAGTCCTGGGTGCGTGGTGTTTTGTCGGCAGGCAGGCACTCCTCAGGGTGCCTAGCAGGAGGTCAGTCCCTGGGCTCTCTCAGAGTGCCGAGGGGCACCGTACCTCGCACCGATGTACTTTGGGGTGCGAGGCCCTGGAGGGACTTGTAACAAACAGAGCTGATTTAAAAGATTTCCTTTTAAATCGATGCTAACAAAACATATTCAAACTTTATTGACTTACTAGAAATTAAAGAGAGTCAACAGTTTAAGCAACATTACAACAACACTGCAGCAGCTGCCACAACATTTTGAGAAAATGGTACTCTCCCAATCTTACCATTTGACCCATCATCCTTTACAAATTTTAAAAGACTGTTCAGATTACTTTTCAAAATTGTGACGAGAGGGAAACTTTAACTTCAACTATTCTCTTGCAGCAAATCTTACTGTTCGTAGTTATTTCTATAGTGGAGGCTGTTTCAGACATAGTGTTATTGCTGAAGTACCGTACTGTACTGTACGCAGTATACTGTAGTGTCCCATAGTCAGATATATATATATATATATATATATTTTTTTTTTAAGTTAGATAGAATATAAGTTGATGACGTGGCCTTTAACGCAAAAAAAATTCGTGGGGCGACAGTAGCTCAGTTGGTAGAGCATTGGCCATTGGGCCGGAAGGTCATGGGTTCAAGCCCATCACGGGACCTACTCCGACTTCTGTTGTTGTTATGTCCTTGGGCAAGACACTTACTTAACCCCGCATTGCCTGAAGCTCATGTTGACCATTGATGTAGCAGCCATCTTCCTGTGGACTCCCCACCTGCAGAGGATCAGCGAGGGACTGGTGCTTTGAGCATGGGGTGGGTTAATATATCTTGGTTTTAGGAAATATTGTTGGTCTTGAAACAAGATGGGACAAAACATGTTTCTTTTTCTTTCAAGCAAATAAATTGCTTATGCCCTTTGACATGTTTTGCTTTTTCCATTGACAAATCAGTTGTGGCAGTTTAGAGGCTGTTATTGGATCCATACATCATTAAATTGATCCTTCCATGTTTGAAACCAACTTAGGCAACTTTATGCTGAAGTTGGAGAAATGTCATATATTCTTGCTTTTCATTGTGCAAAGATAGAGATTTTATACTTGCTCCTTTTATTAACCTAAAGTTAGAGATTGTATTTATTTATCTTCTCATTCCTACTGCTCTGTAACCGTGATACAACACTGAAATATCCCCACTGTAGGACGGATAAAGGATCTCTTAAACTTAATCTACTTTGTTCTGATAGTAGAGAATTTTTTTTCACATTTTTAGTTTGTAGTGAAGAGCTGTTGCGAGATGAGATTGGCAGTCTCACTTGCGTCAGTCTACCCCAGGGCAGCTGTGGCCAGAGAAATGCCTTACACTCAACACATGTGGAATGAATAAATAATAATGCAAGTGATTCCAACGGCTTGTCAAGCTTGGAAAGTGCAGAACAAATTGATTTTTTCTTCTTTTCTTTTTTTTCCCCCAAACGTAGTCAAGCTGGATCATATGTGTAGAACTGACAGAGCTGGGGATTTGGAGAATGGATTTTAGAAGTGTAGAAGTGTGTGTGTGTGTGTGTGTGCGTCTGTGTATGTGCAGGGCAAAGATATATACATATGAGGTAACATTTGCTTGAATTGAGTGGTTTTAATCTTACTTTGAGCATATTCTGACCATCTTAAAACAAGGTGTGCCAATGGGACAAAGCCTTTTAGTCTAAAAAAAATCTCATTCCAAGGGAGACATTTATTGTATCTTTTTAAAACACAATAATTTTGCTTTTCTCGTTGGCAAATCGTGTTTTAAGGCGGTCAAAATGTGCTCAAATGAAGATACATTTTGCCAAATTTGAGCAATTTTTGACTTATTTTTCAATGTATGTGTGCGTGTGTGTGTGTGTGTGTTGGATGACATAAGCTCACCTCTCAGCTGCTCTGTCAGAACTGTTGTGTGTCTTCTTCACCTCCAGGACTTTCATTCTCTGTGCTCGGAAGCTTTGATCAGGAGCAACTCTCGCTAATGCAACATCTGGATTCATGGCAACAGTTCCGAAAGAATACACTGAAGCGAATCCAAGAAGAAACCGTGCTGCATATTAGGGCTTGAACATTAATCGCAATCTTGTTAATGTGACAACAACTATTTTGTCTCGTAAAAGTCATTCAATCTGGAAAGACTCAAGATGCCTTTCACTGAAAAAAAGGATAAAATATGAGGTCATAAAAACCACTGTATTCAAGCATTTATCTTAATACAAGATTCACCAATGGAACAAAGCCATTTAGACATAATTCAAGAATTTTTGCTTTATTTTCTCATTCCAACGGAAACATTGCTTTTATATTTTTAAAACAAGATAATTTGGCCTATCCCATTAGCAGAAACATTTTTCATCAATTTTTGCAGTGTAGAACAAGGTTTATTGAGCATGAATACATTGTAGCTGTATAATTATGCAAATAAGATGAAAAAAGGGCTCCTTTATTTTCTCCCAGACGAGAAATTAGTCTTATAGGACAGTAGACATTAAATTAGACAAAAAAGACAAGGCATCATCAGAGACTTCTTGGATCATAGAAAAACAGAGTTGATAAAATGTCCTCAAAACAGGCAGCACCCCATAATCTTCCCATTACTTGCACTTCAGTAAATATGTGCCGTATTTTATTGCACTTACCCTGAGCCTAAAGTGTAGTATGTATTGCACTTGCCCTATACCTAGCCAAGACCAACAATACATGCATTTGAAAACACGTGAAAGAACCAAAGAATCTTTTTCGGGGGGAAGTGGAAAAGTTTGGATTGTATCATTGTGTATGGTTTAAAAGTTACATACCCCAGCTTTAATTATTTGCCAAATGGCTCACCCTTTTTAACACACACTTGTATTTTGTTTGGCAACTAGGATCATGTAATGGATGCTTGAAATAAATGAAACCGATCAATCAACGGAAGGAAAAACTGGCTTTGAAGGAGATGACGGCAGGCCTCACACTTTGTCGCCTGCAGACAAATCAGGATTTTGATTTTTTTTTTTTCTTGAGTCTCTACTTCCTGTGGCACTTAAGCCATCGCTCTTCACTTTGTCCCTAATCTCTCCTCTGACACTAAACGCACCATTCGCACCACGCATTGTTCTCCCGTGGTGAAAACACAACTCTCCTTCCTGTGGATCTAACCCGGCCTTCTCTCTTTCTTTTTTTTGTGTCCCATGTTTTCATACTAGGTTGTTGCAGGGCAAGGGGTGCGGAGATAACAGCCGGGCCCCGGGCTATGTACGAGCAGGCAGCACTTTTAAGCACTATGGCACGGTGGAAATCGGCACATCAAAGCCAAAATGTGCAAGATTAAACAAGCAGAGCAGGGCGTTTGGATTGGGTCTGAGCTGTCATGAGCAAAGCTGTGTCTCTGCACGCAAGAAAAAGCAACAATACATCGGTTTTATACAGCGCTTTTTCCGAACTCAGGCGCTTCACATGTTGTTATTCTTTCACTTCATACACAGCGGTGATACTGCTGTAGCCGCGATAATAGTAGGAGCGAGGCAACCAGTATGTGCCATAACCAACCATTCACGCTCACATCAGACTCATTCTAAGCAATGTTTATTTATTTGATGTATTTTTCAATTTTTTTTTATTTGACAGGGACATTGCACAATAAATTGATTGTTCAGACCAGGCATAGCTACAAGCTCATTTTCATGGGTAAATTTCAACAAGACAGTAGGTTTACCGAGTGCAAAGAATTGATAAATAGAATAGCCTAATTAGCAAAATACAAGTGAAATACAATACAGTATCATACAACACACAATTATTTACATCTGATTAATGACTGCAGACTTGATTATCTTTGAGCCAGTTTTTTAGGCTGAGTTTAAACTGTCCCAGTGAGCTACAGTCCCGCACAGACAGAGGTAGAAGTGTCTTGCCTAAGGACACCGGAAAGTACATAATTTTAAAAATAATAATAATAATAATGATGATAATAATAATAATAATACCTCAAACTTATATAGTGCTTTTTTGGACACTCAAAAACGCTTTACAACACTACAAAAAATAAAACATTGAAGAACGAAATGCAAGATGAGGTCTGAGGTCTTGTCACAGCATCAGAAGTCATAAGACACAACCAAAAATTTCCCAGCATGCATGTGATTTTTATACCATAAGCATAAAGATCACTTCTCTGAGCATCTGTGACGGCGCTAGTAGACATGTTTGCTTCGACCTTCACAACCAAAACAATCATGTAGAAAATCACTGCTTCTGTCTAGTGTTAGCAATAGGTTTAACCAAAATTGCTTGAAAAGTGTTGTGAGAGATCCAAAGTTATGGTGACAGGGAGTTGCTGGAGTGAGTTTCAGAGAGTGGGGGGCAGCTGTGGCGAAGTCTCGGACCCCCGAGGTTCTGTGTTTAGTCCTGAGGGAAAGAGGAGATGTTAGTCTGTGGATCTGAGGCGGCGGGTGGGACAGTGATGATGGAGGAGGTCAGACATAATCTTTTCTTTTTTGTTCCTCCTTTGGGGACATTTCGATATCATAGTTGCACATAATACAGCAGAATAAGAGAAAAAAGAGAACTCAGGTTATGTACGTGTCAAACAGGATATTTTATTGAAGATAATTAAAAAAAGATAATAAACTTAGGAGATATGATTGCACTTGGTTCAAGGATAAGATATTCACATTTACAGGCTTTACAGGTATTGTACTTTAGCAGCCGAGAACTAAAAGAAGCTATACCTGATTTTTTTTCTAATGAGTTCATAAAAATGCTCATTACTACATACAGTTGTATTATAATCTGTAATTTACTTGAAAACTTGAGCTCATTGAGTCAGATTGTGTATGATTTCAGGCCGTAAAAAGTGCTGAGTAGAGACTTGGCGTGACGCTAGTTCTCCTCCACTCACAGAACAAGGCTGCGTCTTCTAGCCTCTACAGCGCTGCTAAAAAGGGTAGCATGTTAGCAGAATTGGCTATAACTCTTCTTGCTGTAACTGCAGACACATCAAAACAGTCCAAACGACGCAACAGTGAGGAAGAGAAGAGGGAACTAAAGCGAAAAAATGATCAAAGAAGAAATCAAGCCCGAGTGAACATAGCTAGCTTACATCGTATCCTCTGGAGAGACCATTTCATCAGTGATTGTTGCACAGCTTACAAGAATAAGCGCTTATGCTAATGTTTGCATACATAGATCGCAAATAAAACTTGATGGCTCCGTGGAATGAGAGCGTAGAGGAAATGAGAAGCCTGTGAGCGAGTTGAGCGGCGGTGCTAAACATTCAAACTTTGCAGAAACGGGTATAGCTCCTTTAAATGGACTTCAATGACACAGAACTGATGAGTGTGTAGCTTTTAATTATGTTACAACATAATCGGATCAAAGAGTTGATGTTAGCTTCAGGCACATTACAATGATGATCCGGGACATTTAAGAACATTTATGGACATTGATCATCCTTCTCCCGATTGATCAAAGGCTCCTATGTGTTTTTTTTTTTTTTTTTTTTCTACATAGTTGCCTGTGTTTGAACTGTTTGATTTGAACTGTTTCTCTGATCTGTTGTTGGTGAAACTTTGTAAAGTCTTCCCAGCTGTCGGGATTTAGGGCTATACAAAAATAAATTGAATTGTATAGACTCAATAACACCATGTACAAAACAGCATGTTCTCAATAAAGCCAACATATAAAATGTATAAAATCAATAACAAATATTATAGATGTTGGTTCTTAAAAAAAGATCTTGAGAGTAATGTTGCCGTTCCGTGTTTGTGAATGTGACATTTTTTTTCATGAAGTTGAAAATATATGGATAAACATGTAATATAGAAAACTTGGCTAAAAATGTGCCCAGACATTTTAAAGAGCTTTTTTCTGGACACTCAAAGATGCTTCACATGTCATTATTCTTTCTTAAAAAAATCTCCCGCTACTTCTAAATTACAGTGACAGAAGCGAGTATCAACCAATCAACCAATTGGACTATCACCAACCATGCACGCACACGTCAGACTCACTCTAGACAATGTTAGTGTTCCCAGAGGGGTCTCCCATCACAGTGCGAACCAGACCCTACCCTGCTTTGCTTCAGAGGTCTGACAGTTTCTGGGTTGTTGCATGTTTTGAATGAGGAACAATGTTGTGTCATAATATTTGCATGGTCATTATGTGGATGACACCAACAGGTGGTGTGTTAGGCAAGTCAAGGCAAGTTTGTTTGTATAGCACAATTCATACACAAGGCCACTCAAAGTTATGAACAAAACAAGATAGAGACAGTCACACAAAGCATTAAAATCATAAATAATCACAGTACATTCAAAAAAGTTAAGATAAAATGCCTCAGTTGTTTTTTTTAACCTGGATTTTAAATGAGTGATACTCCTGGACTCACCTTGCCCTTCTCCATCGTCCCCATTTTACCCGCAGCACTTTAGTCCATTTTTAATCCCATCCCGGTGCTTCTCCCTTATGTAGACGTCTTAAAAGATTGTACAAATGTTTTCCCCGAAGACATTAAAAAATTAGGCTGAAAACGTTTTAAATATTCTGTCCTCTTCCCTAAGAAGCATGTCCGCAAAGACCTCAAACTGTCACGGGCCATTAGCACCAGAGCTCATTTCTAACTTACGAATAAACGCGTAAAGTTATGAAACTGTTTCTTTGCTCTGGTGGATTTGTTGCAGATGTTTGTTTTTTCCTTAGTAGCCCATCACCATCAATGCTGTAAGTTAATGATGATTTCACTTCTTAATTCTGCCTTGTATGTGTATTATTTGTATCTCCATCCATCTATCCATCCATTTTCTTCCCCTTAATCCATTACTGGGTCGGGGGAGTGGCACCAGCCCCTCACTGATCCTCCTGCAGGTGGTGAGTCCACAGGAGCTGAGATCTTTCAGTGGGAGCTTCAGGCAAAGTGGGATTAAGTGTCTTGCCCAAAGACACAACGACAGCAGACATCAGTGGGAGTCGTAAAGTAGGTCTTGTGGTGGGCTCGAACCCACAACCTTCAGGCTCAAAGGCCAATGCTCTACCAACTGAGCTACTGTCGCCCCATACATACAGATACATTTGTATCTGTATGTTTTAAATGTGAAGGCCTTTGTGATCCTGGTCTGTGAAAGGCGCAATACAAATAAATTGTACTCACTTACTTATAATAAATGAAAATCATTTTAGGGGCCACTATACAAATGGTCTAAAAAATTTGTTTTACTTGCCTTTCACTTTTTATGGTTTAAAAGTTACATACCCCAGCTTTAGTTGGTGACATAGCTACTACTTTTTTGTATATTTTGTGTGCTCACACTACTGTCCTGTCTGTGCGCTGCAACATCAACATTTCCCCACTGTGGGACGAATAAAGGAACTCCTATCTTTAATTGTTTGACAAACAGTTCTCCTACCGTTATTCATTCCATTTATTTTTGTATCTCTGTCCATAACAAGGTGAGGGTCTGATTCTAGGACCACAAAATGCCCTTTTTTTATCAAGTCTGAAACAGAATCTTATGGCTGGTGCTACATACACATACATTATCACCTAATAAAGCTTACTTACTTACTTACTTACTTACTTACTAATAATATAATAAGGATTTGTAAAAAAGTAAAATCTTAAGTATTTTCTAGCACGTTGCCAAATATATTAGACTTGGGTGGACAAAATGAATGGTTAGGGTTATGACTTGTTGAAAAAGTTGACAAACTCATTTTGATCAGGCTCCATTTTTATTGCAAGTTCACAATCATTTTGGAGAGGCCACTCAAAATGGTCGGACAGGCCACATTTGGGCTCCAACAATCTGTCTGGGGTCCATTACAGATTGATACAAACAGTCAGAAAGGTAGTAATAGACAATCTGTGAATTCTAGAAGTGAAAGTTCCAACCTTTTCAAACTCTTCTTTCTTCAGGGAGCTGGAGAGCGTCTTCACTAGTTCTCTATTTCCTTTAAGCAGGTTATAAATAAACAAATAACGGCGTTAACTTGAGTCGAGTGGAATGCGGCGCACGAGTGGATTTGGTGAAGGACGCTGTGTTTAGTAAACACCAGATAACCAACAAGATAGTGTTTACTTTTGCTACCTGGGAAAGGACTGAAAGATAGCAGAGAATAGACAAAGGGAACAGTTACAGGGTGAGTTTTGTTTTGTTTGGAG